TACGGATACGCAGCACCTGCCTGCTTACTCCGTACGGAGTAGAGTCCACGGAGTAAGAACTTAGTCAAGACACCGGCTCCATCACGAATAGACCATGTGAGAATTCAATGCCAACCATCCCTTTGCTCCGAGTGCGGATCACCCAGCAAACCGCCTTGACGACCAAAGCTTTCCCCCGAGTAGCCGATGCATGCCCGTGCCCGCCCGACGCCGAGCTGTTGTCAAAAAGAAAACTGCAATTTCGGGTCACGAAGCCGTCCCGCCACACGGCACTGAGCCGGCAAGCCACATTAATGTTGTCTCAGCCCACTTTCGCCGGCAGCTTGAACAAGAATTGTAGCCTGCTGCCAAACCTATCATTTGCGATGTTAGGCGAAATGCCTCGAGGCATCGATACACTTCAAGAAGCTGGTGACGCTTTGAAACCACCGAAAATCCGATGTGTTCTGCGAAACGTGCCACGGTATTGCCATTCAGCCAGCGAGTGGAACTTGACGTGGACGTCTTAACGCGGCATTGGGGAGTACCCTACCTCAATCAGACAATGACATGACGTCTACATACACACACAGTTCTAGGTATTCGCCATTCTCGGCCAGACACAACGGTGTTCGAGGCAACCTCATGCATACCGTTGCAGCAATTATTGGCTTACCAGACCCCATGGACTTACCGCTACGTTCCAGTCTTTCGAGACTTTTGCATTTTCGCTGCCCAAGTGGACAAATTTGCGGCAAAAACAGGGTCTAGGTGGTTGGGGAGGACCACCGAGTTACCGACAAGTCTCGGGCCTCCAAACACTTCCAAGAGTCACAACAGCGGTCAAACCGCCGCATATGCACGAGGCAAAGAAAAATTCATTCCCGACCTCTGCAAGACTGTGCGGAGTGCTTGCATGTCGTTGCTGTCGAGACGGTGGAATGATGGGGTCAACATTGAGGAGAAAATTGCAGAAATTTTCTTCTGATATGGGAACTCGAGTCTACACTTGAGCCGCAGCTGCCGCAGACCGTCAGCCATTGACAAATCACATTGAAGCAGATGGCGAGCAAAGAAGCTAAAAGAGTGTCACGATGCGGGACTCGGTATGCGATCGCGGGGCGGACCAGGGTCGCGACGGCGGCACGGGTTGTCCCCAGTATTTTTTTGGCGTCGTGCAGCAGCGCACCGGTTCCTTTCTGGCACCTCCGAAGCTCTGGGTCGCCATGCGGGTGCGTACTCGCGTGAGATCATTCCACGAGTCATCCCGCTGGCGTTCAACACAGATGACTATTGGTGGCATCCGGGCGTTGCGAGGTTAAGGCTGGGGATTGCCTGTTGGCGTCGAGATCATCGCCGAAGCTTGCGGAAGCACCAAGCAGAGCGAACGGCCCATGAGGGGCTGGAGGGGTGGCTGAAAAAACGGAGTCTCTGAACAGATTCTTTCCATGGTCACCGACGACGTGCAGCCTACGGCAACCAGCGGTGATGAACATTGAAGCCAAAATGGCTTAGGAACTTCTGCACGAAGAAGGATTCAAATGCATTGTTGCCCGAGATTTGAATGGAGTCGCGATGATCGCAGCCTGCAAATCGGGGGAACTGCGCCAAGGAAGGGATGTATGGCTTGTGAGCAACAGCATTCGCTCCCCCGAGTCGTGATGGTTACGATGGACACTTCGCTCAGACTGTCACTTTCTTGACAAGACGGCGCATGCTTCACATTGATGGAGCTCTTTCGACAGAGCCTCAAAGTCAATATCATACTGGAACAGCCCGCAAAAGTAAAATCCAGGGTCCAGGCCTTTCCGACAGGCCCATGGTCCATGGCCCCGGTTTGAGGCTTCAAAAACTTGCAGTTCGTGATGGATACTGGCAGGCCCCACTGCGGGGACGCTTTGTACGCAGTAGAAGAAACGCTCCCGGACAAGCGTTAGCAAACACCTTAGAACCTCGAACTTGATCCACACCTGCATGACCGCGGACGTGGAGTCGGGGAACCTTGGAGACGGGCACACAGGGCGACAAGATTTCGACGCCAGTAATGACGGCGCATGCAACCACTTGTGCATGCGTCAAAAGCTTGCATGCAACGCAAGGAAGAGAGAGGAGAACAGAAAGCAAGAGCTCCATAAACTCGATATGATGACGAGGCGAAGTGAGGGGAACATCGGAGCAAGTTGCGAGATTTCTGCAAGACCAACTGCTGGGGCTGGAAACGCGGCCTATTGCTGCAGTAGCAACGTCGGCGGTTCGAAACTACGTCGGTGCGAGATCACGGAGACCGACACGGATGCGGACACGTTCTGCAAACTGCAGATCAGGGCTTGGATTCACCAACCAGCCCCAATATGACGGTCCTGCTGATCACAAATGACACACTGCTTGATTGCGTGCCTTGGTGACCGATGGGCCAGCGCTCCTCTCAACTCCCTGGCCGAAGACGTGCAGGAGATAGATGCTTGAATTGCTGCCCCTCCAGATTGGTAATGAGCGGCACCGCAGCGTCACCACGTTGAATTGATCGAGGGGAGGGGTCGGGGGGTTCCACGGACCCGGTGCTCCGGCAGCTTGCGAGGTCTCGTCCGAGGATCGCTGTCGCCCATCGCGTAGGGGTGGTTTGAAGGTCGCGTATCGGCGCGTCTGCATCTGAGGACCCATTAACTTCGAACATGCCTTCACTCCGCGTTCGACTGGGCCACACCCCGCGGCGTTTTGCACAGAGTATCTGTAGGGATCAACGAGAGACGGATCCAACATCACGCAACCCACCACATCATCCTGTCTTGCTTTAGCCGCATGCAACAGTCAAATATTCACCAAGTGCCAATAGACCCGGATTGCGAAAAGGCCAGACAAGGAGCTCCCAGGCTCCCGGATGGCGCGAGACGGAGAGCTTGGGGAAGTCGAAGTGGTGGAGTGGGAACGGCAGAGCCAAGCGCATTATCTCTCGACCAACAAGACGCTATATCCCAGAGTTCGCGATTGAAGAGCAGGTGGCATTCTTGCAGATTTCGGTCACGAAAGTTTGATCCAATTGAGGCGTATCGGGCTATCAGTTGGCGGCCATGCCTCGGTGTGCGTGGCACCAGTGCAAGTGGACAAGCTGGCATGTGGTGTGGTGAGCTGGTTCGGGGAAATAATTGCATGTTTTCCTTGATTTGCGGTTTCGACCGGTTTCCTCGAGGTGGTGTACGGAGCTTGATGCTGGTTCGCGACGTTCCTGAGCTGAAGATGCGAAAGTGTGTACGTCTCTTGAACAGGGTTGGGAAGAGGCGCTGCGGGTGAGGGGTAAACGAGGACGAAAGGCACCCTTGTTGGACCAGGGTCCTTGTCGCCATCGCCTCTGGGGATTTGGAGTCTGCGCGCTTCTACTCGTCCAGCCACCCTGCACGAACTGACAAGGCCACTGTTGGGCCTGGCCGAATCGGGGGTCTATTGCAACTTACCTGCAACCGAATAGCTCGCTACTGAATGCCATTGTTGCTGCTGTGTTGGCAGAGGGGCCCGGCCGAGTTGACAGAAGGCAGGTTTCAAGGGTGCAGTGCATGTGACGGCTCCATTGGCAGTTGAGCGATGAGCCTGGAGGCGACACGAACCGTCTTTGGCGGCCATGGAACGGGGCTGCGTTGAAGGGTCAAGAACGGCGGATTCTGGGGAAACCGACTGGATTACGGCCGTGGGATCACTGAGAAACTTGCGATTCTGGCACGGCCTGGGTGCAATTGATTGGACACATGACTCTCCTTCAATACTGAAAATAGGCTGCCAGAGAGATTGGGATCTCAGGGCGCGGATGGTCTCTAAGTCTGGCCAAAGGGGGGAGGTCATTGCCAACGGGACAGGCTGAGTAGCCTACCTAGTGTGAATCTGGGGTTGGCGGATCGCCATCTAGATTTGGTGACAATGGCGAAAGGGAGGGGGTACGCGGGCGACACAAACATCGCGTCGAGGGGCATTTCAAGGGACCGCGTAAAGTGGTCATCCGCTAACCCAGACCAACCGTGAGAAGTCATCGTCAACTTTTGTTGGAGGGGCTAGGCTTAGGTGATTCAGGCCTACCTAGTTTGGGAGGGCGAGGGGCACGGGAGGTGCAAGGGCCTTGCACTGACCTTTGTTCGTCTGATGTTACAGGTGGCTGTTGCTTTTCTTTGACAATTTTGGGGGTTTGGAGGGACAAAGCGGGTGTGAGACCCGTGGGAGAGATGGGGAGAACTGATCTAGAAGGGTTTTTGTATGGGTTGAAGCCATGAAGCCACGTCTTGTCAGGACTTTTTGGTTGATTTCAGCGGCCACTTGCATCATTGACGATCCCTCTCTCTCTCTGGTCATTGGTGAGTACCTAGCCTTTTTCCGTCAGGGAGGTGAAGAAAGGAGCGGGCCCTGAGGCGCGGATGACGCTTGGCGCCTTTTTCTTGCGCTCTCTGTCTTCCAACGGTGCCGGTAGAGCGGAACCGCGGCTCAGGGGGTGGTCAGGGGGGTTTTTGTGGTTGATGTTGGACGACGGTCTGAAAAGGGAGATTTAGGATTTGAGATTCGGAACCTCTGAGATCACGAGACATCGACAAAGGGGGAGACACGATGGGGTCTCGGACTTGAAGTCTTTTTACGGCCACGGCTTTGACGATGCTCATATCGGACGGATGCGAAAGTGGATGTTTTTTTCTTCAGGTGTTGCAACTTGCAAGGCGGGCACGTTCGTCAGCCTACCTGGGGCGGGATGGGTTCTAAATATGTTGGATTGGCGACGTTTGTTCGCCCCCCCCCTATTAGTAGACGCGGGATATAGCCCGGCCCCGGGCAGATTGCTCGATCATCACTCGATTCTTCAACCAGATGAGTAATGGGGTTGACCGTCAACTGAGGCTGGGAGTATCCCCTAGGAACACCATAAGCATGAATGAGAAAGGAATGCGTGTACGGTACCTTTGCCAACCAACACCAACCCAAGCAGTTAATGTAGGGGAAAGGGGGAATAAGTATCATGATTTCCTCCATGTTCTGGAATAGATGGAAATCAATCAGCCTGTGGATTTTGAATGGTTTCCGTAGGCGCGGTGCGGAACTGCCGCTGCACCAACATCTTTAGACGCCGGACACGCTTGGTGCATGAATCGGGGGTGGCCCGGGATGGGGGAGGGGGGAGCGTCTGTTGGCTTCAGGGGAGCCGAGATGAGATGATGGGATACGGTACGCATTGCCCATGGGAATTTGGCTGTGCTGAGTGCTGAGTCAGTGGAGGACGGGTTGGTGATTTGGCGACTGGTTGAATATCGAATCGGTCGATGGGAGAGACGCGGGATGATATTCAGATGACGACGATGGCTCATTTGCTTTTTGCCGGCTGTACGAATAACTCCCCACCTATCTAGAGCAGGGTTATGCGGCATTGGGGTAATGTAAGCTAAGCGCGACAAATGGCTGCTTTTCCCGGCCGCCGGTCTCGAATACCTACATACTGTTTCTGCACGGGGTGAGACATTGGGCAACGAGTGGCAGGGAGACTAAGTGGGCTCCGGGTTTTCTTCTTTTCTTCTTCGTACCATTTGAATCTATCCCACGAGGGGTGGGAATCTGATGTCGATGGAGAAAGTGAGACCTGGAGCGGTGACGATCCCGCGTGGGCGGTAGTTCTGATGGAGTAGTTATTATCAAGGAAAAAAGAGGGAAAAAAAAAGCAAGTCCTCTGTGCTCCGTACGCGTGCTCCACGCTCAATGATGATCCAATGAAGTCGGCGGTAGCGACGGGGAGGTGGCCGCTAGAACGGCTTCTAACCTGCGATACGGCGTACATCGGTTTTGCTGTCGTTTCTTTTCACGAGGACCATTGGTTCGAAGTCTCTCGTTTTTTCAAGTGCGCCTTACCTACTTGAGCTCTCTCGTTTTTGTACTATGAGCCGTGGTGGTTGTCTCGCGCGGCATGCCGGAAGTCCATCGAAAGGACACTGTATTTCATCCTTGATCCGCTGTGTGGCCCCAGCTTATAGTGCATGTTAAGACGGGTCCGCGATTCCAACTGTCCACGGAGAAGGTGAAAGTGAAAGACGAGCTGGTTGAACGCTATCTAGGTACTAAGCTTGTGGGAAGAGGGGGGCACCAAAGAAGCTATGGCTTTTTGGTCTTTTAGTTGACGATCAGGGAACTTTCGTCTACCTAGGCACTCGTCACTGCTCCTGGTGGTCACAGTGCCCGTCCCGCAAGTAAAGCTCCTTAATCAGTTGAAGAGACGTCCGTCTCAGAGAACGACTCGTGCTCAGCGGACGGACGGTAAATGGGTTTAAAGAAAGGATAATGACGATCTCGTGGCTTTCAGGGGAGCGCGCGGGAGGGGGGCAGGTACAGAGGGGCAAGGGATTATCAATGGATGCTCTAAAAGAGGAACAATGACAAAGATTTGGGGCGTATTTTTTCTTGCGATTAAAGGTTTGAAACGGAGACAGTTACTAGGTTGCGCCAAACCCCCAAGGTCGAGGTCGTCGTTTGGCGCTGGACGCTTGTGCGGATCAGGGTTGGGAGGCCTGTTGACGAACAATAATTCGTGACTGCCTTAGCCTCTTTGCTTACGGCTGGCTGGGCTGGCTGGGCTGGCTGGCTTACCCTGTGCTTGAGTGGTGTCCTGTCGTGCCTGTGTGGTTCCTGGAGCATCTACTTACCTAGCTGTCTGTAGGAAGGCTGTTCCTGGCTTCCGAGATGCCACAGTCTTACGAGTTTTAGTTGCAAAACCTGTCGAGACTCTGTGTGAGTGGGAACGTGAAAGCAGGCAACCCGCCGAAACGGGAGAAGCGTTGCCTGTCGGCTGGACCGGGACGGGGTGGTAGGTAGTTAATAAGGGGAACTAAGGCAAGGTCGCGACTACGCCATGCGGCTATGAAGAAGGGGAATAGGTTGAGCCAAGGCTTTTCTTCCGTTTCCTATGATCATGGTGTACGGGTGTCTGTGAGTGATGGGGGGGTGGAACGGGGTGTAAAGAGAGCACGATGGTGACGACCGTGACGTTGAAGCGGATGCATGCAGGCGACTGAGTAAGAGGCTGAGCGGTTTACTTCTGATAACGCGGTTGGTCTGTAACTCTGTGCATGGAATGGAGCCTCACGAAAAAGAGAATCGAGACACCATCGATACACGATCTTGACGCGCGCGGGGAAACCTGGGTTTTTGGTAAAAAAGGAAAATCCTGGAATGCTAAAAACGCGATGCACGAGGGCGGGTTCTTCTACCATCTTTTTCCCCCCTTCTCTTTCATGGCGGGTTGGCCTACCTAGTTTAGGCTCTTTTGAGTTCTGATATGGAACTTGAACTCTAGGCGGCATTCCGATGGTTGACGCGGAGGCTCTTCGTCATTGATTCTGCAGAGCAACCCGGGCATTTTTCGTATACCGAGGAGTTGTTGCGGATACTTTTGTCTTTTTGGGCAATTGTCTGGCCAGATGGGTTTCGACAACGCTGTAGCGGGGACCATTTTGCAAATTGTGACTCTCATGGGAGTTGGAGAATCATTCGCTGCAACAGTGACTTTGAAGATTCCATATTGGCACATTTTTTCCATCTCCATCCGTCAATGAATGTTCCATCTCGCTTGCAATTCGAATAATACATGGCCGGGATCAAATAAGTCTGACCGCCATGGATCGTCAGGTCCCTTTTGGAAATTCCCCTTTTTCTGAGGCGAGATTTGCACCCGCAGAAAACCCAATGAACCGTCAAAAAGAGTGTCAATGCCCACGCGCGTCGTTCCACGTCAGGCTAAAGTAACAGAGGGCAGAAAATAGAAGGCCGTTGACTGGACGGAAACACGAAAGGGACGCAGAACGCATTGATATTTAATAGAAATCTGCCCGTGTCCTTCTTTCCCATCTCTTTTTTTTTTTTTTTTTTTCTTTTTTTTTTTTTTTTGACGTTCGCGTGCTCCCGCGTTTCCGGGTTGTCTGATTGGCCCGTCGCGGTGTGGGGTAAAAGTCTCTTTTGGAGATTTGGATTTAGAGTGGGGGTGCTCGGGGGGGAAGGCACGAGGGAAAGGCGCGCTGTGACTGGCGGGCGGGTGCGAGAGCCACCGAGAGCTCGGGAAGCCCTTTCCCACCCCTGGTTTCCTTGGCTGTGGTGGGGTTTAATTGAAGTGCTATGATTGGATATTTGGTTAGAGACCCCTGCACGTTCAAGGAAAGCGTGTCTTTTTTAGTTTTTGGGGGAAGTACGAAGTACATAGCCGTGCTGGAAGCATGGGGCAGGGGCGTTCTTGACTCCCTGAGGCTTGGAGATTAGTTACAAGTGCAGCATAGTAGACCTCTTCTATTGGGACCTTGGGGGAGAGGGAATTGAGTGCCGCATGGAAACTACCTCACGCTATGGGAACCGATCACGATGGACCATGGTAATGGAAGCGTGGTGCTGAGTGGGTGGAAGGCACTGGCAAGCTTAGAGGATCCTCAGACGTGGAGACTTTTCGATACTTGAGAAGGAAAAAAAGAAACCAAGAGCAGATTAAAAAAAAAAAAGCAAAGCTGGGCGTTTCCTGTCCGTTCCCTCCGCGACGAGTCGTGTCTCTCCCTACGCAAAACCCCCCCCTTTCTGCGGAAAGTGATGCCATTCTGATATGCCTGTGCATAGTCTTCAATGGACTCTCACACTCTCTCTCTCAACTCGGCAGGCATCGAAGCATTGGAAAGCAGCCAATATTTCATTTCGAACTTCTCTTCTTCAACCCGGCAGAAAAGGGACACACATTGAGAGGAGAAGGTACCCGAAAACGTATCTAGCGCCGGTGGGACTTTCACCGGCATAACTGCGCCGTGCTGGAGCAGCTGGAAGACAAGGTCCATTGTAACCGTACTATTCCACTCCGAACGTCAGCGTGCCCAGCCCTAGGATCAGGATTGTGTGGATGTGCAGGTAATGGAACAGGGAATAGCCTCGCCATTGCCAAAGATGGAGGTGATGGACGTACCTAACGGCCGGGAGCTTCCATGTACTTAGCTGGCAAGGAGAGGCGCGTAATAAAGAGCATGGAGTCCCCTATGCACGATGCATCTGGCTCTTGTTTTTTTGCACGGGCAAGCTCGATTGTGCATTCGATTGCAGAGGAAGAGTTGAGTGCTTGACAAGTGTGACAAGTCACAAGAAGCCTCAAGTCATTGTACCTGGATCTGGACCTGCAGAGCCAATCTCAAACGTACAACCAATTGGCAAGCTGAAGGCGGCCAATTGTGTCTCACACCCCTGGTACGCCTTGAGAGTTCCCGTCATTGTGCATGTAACTTGGTAAAGTGGTTGCGCCTCTTGGGGCAACGAAAAACGCCCATTGCATCCGGATAACCCAAAGCATGTACAATCAATGAGGTAAGCTAACGCTTGCTCCACACAACCCTGTGTCGAAAGATGAATCCTCATCAATGGAAAAAAAGATTGAATTGGAGACTCTAGGCGTTTGGTAGGTTTCCAGACGCGCGCTCGGTAAAGGTTGGAGAGGGTGAGAGTGAGATTGAGTTGGCAAGACGCGCTCGCCGAAATGGGACACACCACGACGAGATCAAACCCGTACGATGGATCGATCAAAGGGTTGGATGACACCGTACAAGTCTCCTACTAGTTCCTTTGCAGTTTCCAATTTTTTGACATGAAGCAGGAGAAGCAGGATGGAAGCTTGGGAAAAAAAGGTCCTCTTGCAAAAGTCTCAGCAACCCTTCCCCTTCCCCCCCCCCCCCCTTTAGCGTCCGTTCCTGCAAAGGCCGGAAGTATCAAGTTTCTGGGGGGGGCGTAGTAGGCCGGGCGCACGTGCCGAGAATGGGTAATTGAACTGTGAGAAAGACTTGCTACAGCCTGCAGCACTGGCTTTCCCAGGATTGGGTTGAACCATACTCCGTACACACAGAGCACACACACGCCTGACAAGAATATCCCGTGCATCATTAATCGAACCCCTACTCCATTTACGATGGGCCGTGTTCGATACGTCCGAGTGTCGTGACGGACGTGTGGTTTTCGCGTTTTTGGGGGGTAGGGGGGAAGGAAAAGAACATGCAACTCAATGACTTGTGTGTGTGTGTGTGTGTGTTGGACAGTCGGAGGTTGCAGTAGGTTTTACTTGAAGCTGAAAGGGGGCCAAGGCCCAAAGACCGGGACAGGCAAAGCCGAATTTACACAGTCGTCAGTTACGCAGTGCGAGCCGGTGGGAAACATTCGTCGTACATCGTTCATTCATCAGATTCGGCCGTGTGTGCTAGTGATCGTCTCTTCATCTGCGTTTCTGGTAAGTGATCTGAGGAAAGATGCCAGGTTGAAGTCCGGCCGCGATGGAGACCGGCTTATTGTATCCGTACCTGCCTTCTCGGTGCAATTGTCAGCGTAGGTGTACGGATACCTAGACGTACCTGGTGGATGATTGCACAATCGTTGGTTTGGTTGGCGACGATGTGTTCAATCCATAAATCCCCAAAAAGTGCAACAACCGGAAAAATAAAAAAAAGAATAAAATGAAAAATACATCGTGACATCGTCATCCCTTCTTTCCCAGCCGGCCGCGGCCGCCGTGGCCCGTCCTCGTCCCGAAACCTCCAACCACTGGGAAGGTGCAAAGTGTGGCTGGGGCCTGGGTGTTTCCTTCTAGAAGCTCGACCGCTGAGTGGATGACGGCCGGTGCGGGTGCTGTTGACATTTGACGACAACTGCAGCCTTGATTGGATCTCCGTTCTTCATCTCGCGTTTCTTACGGACCACCAGAGTTTTTCTTAATATGTCTTCAATTCTTCTGCCTCTGATGGAGGCCCGTCCCGACGAAGGCCCGGGCTTGATTTATGCGCAGGGCGCACGACGTATCAAGAGATTGTCGATGTGGACAACAAACATACAAACACCGCCCGTATCTGTGTGGTTTTTCTTGTACCATGCTGTCCGAGAGACGTCTCGATAACAAATGACAAATAAACAATCTCACAGTTCACGAAGTGAAGAGCATGGCCGGCTCGACCACGACCTAGGGCTCGGGAAGGAGGCCACGTTGAAAGGCCATGTGGATTGTGGAATGACGGACATTATATCAATCAGCGTCCTGGGCATCGGATGCAGACAAGTTATCCTCGAAGCTTATGTCACCAATTTCATTACTGGCACATTAATTACCTACTATGCCCCGTACGGTCGTGACGGTGCACCTTACGCATACAGTTGCACGACACGCCTGACACGGTCCCGGATGCACGAGCGAGACACACAAGCCACACTTATTCCGTTTCTCGTTTTCCTCCATTCGTACCTCATTTCTCTACTTCGTACACCTCACTTCATCAAATCTTCCGACTGAATTGAATCCACGAATTGGCCCACGTCTGGCACTACTACCAGTCTCCATACTCGGTACATACACAGGCGTCGAGAAGTGGACCACATAGACGGCATATCGTCGTCATTTTCCAACGGTTCATATCGCCAAAACCGGTGCTGGGGGCGGTCCCACGAAATAGTTCCCACCTCGCGATTATCCACCAGCTGCAAAGTACCTTAATCCCAAGCCCACGGGTTACGCCGTGAAAGCAATTCCCAACACCACACCACACTGGGGGGACACACACGCACATCCACGACACCACGCACACGAACCAGGAAACCCTGCAAAAACCATCTGAATCCGTACCGCGTCGTGAGCCAATCCCAGCGGGCGTTCTATCCTTCCCGTTAATCCCTGCTCCCAACACCACGCACACACGCCTCATCGTGGTATCACTGGCTTTCCATACCTATCCGTGCCTCGCCTTGCCCTGCACAATCGCGACCATTACACGCAGAAGTTTGGTGTAGAGCCTGAGGAAGAAGCGGCTCCAGTCTTCCTTTTCATATCCTAAGATTGTCTCTTTTTACCTTTACCTCACCAGTCGAGCCAAGAAAGAGTCCGAATTGGTCCTGGTCCCGAGAGGCGGATTACCTACCTCCACCATTCGTCCACTCGTCCACACACACCATACAGATACACCGCTCACGTAACTTTGCTTGGGTGTACGAATGGATATTCGTCGTACTATCTGACACCCGCTCGGCACGCATTGGCACAGTCCTCAACCTCCCTCATACCAGGCACGCACGCACGGCACAGCATAACTCAATTCCGTGACGTCCAGTGGTCCAGTGGAAAACAAACTACCGTGGTCCAGCAGTCGATTCCACACGCACCAATCATCCGTCCCGAGCACGACTACCACCCTGCTGCCAGCCTGCCACTGCCTCAGCCTGGGCCAAGTCTGAGTCTGACATCTAGCGAATTGGCCCTCGGCCTCTACGCAGTAGGCTCTGGGTAATCCGTAAGCCCTGAAAGAGAAGGATACCGAAGCCCCGTCTCGGGCTTCTAGGGTTCCTTCAAGCTTCAACGGAACGGCCCCAGACCCGGCTTCGACGAAACGAACAAAGACGGACGTTGGTTGTCTTTCGTCTACTTCACTCCTAAGCAGCGGCAGCAGTAGCATTAGCATCAGCATTTGCATGGTGTTGGTTGCTTCGACCGGCCCAGTCCAACCCAACCAGTCTATCAGGCCGTTCCTTTCATCGAACAAGTTGGCGCCGTCGAATTACGTTGCCCCATTGCCCCATTGCCTCCCAATCCTCCCCTCCTCTCTCCTCAGAACCTTGATCCGTTGGCTTTGTTCGTTTGAAGTCTTGACGCCTCCTGCCGAACCTTGTCCCGTACAAGCTACTGCTTCCTCCTGCAGGCCGTATCTTACGGGTGATACGTGGAAACGCACCATAATCTCGGACACACAAAGGAACAGCGGCAGATACAGAAAAAGGCACAACTTGAGGATAACGAAGCAAATTGGTACCGAGCTGCGCTAAGCCCAAGCATTATTCGAGAACAAGGAAAAGGCGCGCGCGGAGCTGCTGCACAAAACCGGACATTTGACATTTCGAATTGGCATTGCTACCGGCCTGCGGTTGCGGATTACCACCACTGCCACTGGAACTCTGTACGGCACCTTGCCCCCCGTCGCGGCGTCGCCCTGTATTATTGGGGAAGAGAAGGGTGTCAAAGGTCCCACGGGGGGGTGCCCAGGCCAAACCAGGACCAAAGCTCGTCAGGAGCTGCTGCTGCGCTGCTGCGCACCACCACGACGCACCACAAGCACCAGCTGTATCCAATCGACGGCCAGTTCGCTCACTTTCACACTTTCTGACGATCCACTCCAGCAAAGGTACTGCTCACTTTCTCGGCGGGCGGCGCTGTGTGTCGACAGGCATTCGGCTTGCTGGGGGTGGCGCGCAGGCGAGACGAGACAGGAGACACGACGAATGCACCGGAGAGCAGCAGGACGGTACTTGCTAAACGTGCTTGGACAAGGCAGACAAGACAATCAGACAATTGTCAGTCAGAGAGGCAGTCGACAGAACAAGCAAGCAGGTAGGCAGGCGAGCGGCGTCGACAATTCGATTGTAGACGCAGTCATCCTCATCCCTCGCTTCTTCCCTCGCTGCAGGCTTCACGACCTAGGCATCAATTTAATACGGTGACAGACAGGAGAGATAGAGACAGGCCAGAGACAGACAGCATTGTTGCTGCTGCTCGGCAAGGAACCTTTACCTCAGTCCTCAGCCTGCTTCGCGCAGCTGCACTTGCAGGGCAGATCTGCAAGGAAGAAAGAGGGTCGGCTCACTGCAAGTAAAGTGAGTAAGTCCAGTCCAGTCCAGTCCAGTCCAGTGGGCAGTCCCGTCCAGTCCTCGGTATCCGTAACGTACAGGCAAATAATACCACCTACTGCGGCGCGCTACAGGCTACAGGACGAGACATATGAGAAGCGCAACCACTCACTTTCCTACTCAAGAACTGACCTGAGGTATTCGTACAGTAGTAGTCTGCTTGATTTCCTGGTTGTGACCGTCAGCCAGCATCAACATTTGCATCGGCGCATCAGCCCAGCAGCAATAGTAACGTCGACAGGCAGTCCACAGGCCATACTTGGTACACATAAGCTGGCTGGGAAGCCAGGATAGGTAGTCTTGAAGGTACGTACATCTCAACTTTGGAGCAGCTCCATGTATCTTTATGCTCAGCATTGTGTGTGGAACTACATCTTGATCACTTCCCCTCTCCCCCCAGTGCCTTCATCCCCTGCCCTGTGTCCAGCCTGGGCTCTTCCCTGTCGATATCACAACAAGATACTTTGGTATTATATGCAAGAGCAGCGGCAGTGGAAAGTACCGTGCCGTTTCTTGGGATCCACCTGGGGGGACTTGGCACTTGATAAGTTGGTGTTGGTGCTGGTGCTGGTGCTGGTGCCGACCCAAGTCCATGTGCTCCGTACTCCTTACAGAATATGTACCATGTATTCGTACCAGCACCACCAGCTCATTCGCACTTGTTCTCTTGCACACCCCTCCCCTCTCCACCACTCACTCCTCTTCCCGTTCCCCCTTCTCCTCTTTCTCTCTCTCTCTCTCGCTCTCTCTCTCTCTCTCCCTCGTTCATCCCGGGCCCCTCTTCTCCTTCTCTGTCTTGTCTCTCACACATGTACACCTACGGAAAGTATTGATCATCAGGGAACAGGCACGAAATACACACATACGACACCTCATCATTCCCACCCGCCCGCCCACACACACATCCTCAGAAAAGGGCCAAAGCTGCACCTTTACGTAGGTACTTGGTCCTTGTACCCAGCCATCAGCGGGCCCCAAAGTACCTTTTTCTCTCCTCGCAGGAGAAGGGGAGTGGCAGAGAGACTGAGAGGGAGACTCGACCGGCCGGCCTGTTAAAACACCTTGGTTCTCTTCCAATCCTTTTTCATCTCCTCGGCCCTCCTCCAACCCTTTACCTACCCTCTCCTCCCCCTTCTCTCCTCCTCCTCGTCCCTCCCCATCCATTCATTCCCTCCTCTTCCTCTCCCCGAAGACAGTCCTTCCTGACTCCTTTGCTCGCCGAAAACGAATAAAGGGTCTTTCCATTCTCTAATCCTCTCCCCCCCAACAGAGAATAGGAAAAAAGAGGAAGGTAGGAGAAAGAGAGAAGACTTAATCTGGCGACGTCCCCTCCCTGACTGAACCGACTCGTCTCCCTCGACTTCCAACTCACCCACACCACACCAACCACGCCCAAAGCTGTCAAGGTCGAACCAGCTTCGTCTTGCAC